TTTGTCCATTTTTAAAATACAAGCTAGAACATGCAAGCAAAAGCCGTTTTTTGTTCTTTACTTCAAAAAGGTCGAGACCAACTCCCAAAGTATTTAAGCAGAGCACTGAAATTGTTGCACAGCTCCTTTAAATAATTAGGAAGTTGGTGTCTCGACCCTCCAGAAGAAAAAAGGAGAAAAAAACGCTATTGCCTGCATGTTCAAGTTTTTTTGTTTTGTTTTGTTTTTTTTTTTAATTGAGAAAGATTGAGGTTTCTGGCACCTCACAACTCCTTCACGATCTTCCGAGTCACATGCGCTGTGACGTAAATGGGGGACGCGCGGGGTTCCGGTAAAGCTCTCTCTTTAGAGCCATTAGTGAGCAGCGAGAACTGTGCACCCGCTCGGGACCACGTGACCACGTGCTTGCGCAGCGCGATGAACAAGGCGAGAGGAGGAAAATCTCGTCCGGGTCCGGCTATCCACGTCCGGCTCTATCCCCGTCCCCCTCCGGCTTCTGGCGGTTGTTTGCGATAGCAGATAGAGCTGACGGTTTTGTGGACCTCAGATAGATGGATCCACTAAAACTCCGTATAATAAAAGTTTTGTCAATGATACCAGCTTTTTGACGGATTTATATGTATGTTGGAATGACAAGATTCATAAAAAAAATTGCCTTTTATTGCGCAGGTATTTGCACAACTTCGTATCCTTTTACCAGTCTCTCATTGACGTCATGCCGCGTGGTTCTCATGCTCGCCGCTCGCGGCTGCAGGTCGGAAAGTATTCGAACTTTTGCCTCGCGATTACGCTGCGGAATCGCAAAATTTTGGAGGAAGGAGACGTGTTTTCTTTCCTTTGTGACAAGATAAACGATGAAAAAAGTAGATCATGGTGTTTAGAATAATTACAAAACTTGAAAGTATAAAACAGCGAGAACGAGGACGGGAACAGGACATCTTTCAGCTTATTAACCAACACGCTCGTTTTCAATTATAGAATAGTTCATTGACAATCAGTTCCCCCATTCAGCAAGTGCTACGGAAATGATACCACTAAAATTCAGGTCAATTGGAATCCATCAATGAACATAAAATGGGCCATCGAAACGACAACCGACCCCGGAGTTACCACCAAAATTACACGATCCTACTGGCCACCCCCAGACTTCCGTGACCCCGTGCACTGCGACTTTGTGCCGGGCCCGCTGTCTCGCTTCGCCACTAACCACAGCTCCCGGAAGCATCAAAATAATTTCCCTGGCCTTCCTAAGCCCATAGCGACTAACGGCGGGTAGGGCAATACAATCGACCATCGACCACCCGCACCACACGACTGCGCTACCTTCTTTCCAAAATCTCGCGATTTCGGACTGCAAATTCCTCTTCGAGAAATAAGCGGAATTTCTCCCTCATGCGTAATAAGATGGGCCACATTGCTCTCTGCCGTCTTTGTTGCACCGACGCCTGGCATCTGTTCTTCCACAGTGCCCATTCTCCAACCGTCCCACGGCTTCTTGGGGTGGCTATTTTGAGTTACATATCTGCGTATGTCTAGCCCAAATCCTCGTGTTAGCCGCGCCCACAATTGCTGAGCGACCACGCACTCTGCAACGACATGTGTCGCTGTCTCCATTTGACCGCAGTTTATGCACAATGGGCTGGGCGATCCTTGTGCACCCCATCTGTATGTTTGGTTGTAAGTCCGAAGAGCATTACATCCTCTTTTCCATTCAAATTCGCGACATCGACCGGTAAGGTGGCGGCCGTGAGGGCTGTCCAGTGGAACGCGTTGATGCTTGCCTGTCGGTTTGGGGCTATTTCCTTGCACGTGAGGATTTCTGTGACACGGGCCACGGGAACGTTTCGAACCTCGACCTCCGGGGCTTGTTCTGATATAGACCGGTGCATCGCGATTATATCTTTGTAAAATTTTGACGGCTTAGGCGCGCATACGCAACGCTTCGCGAACGCAGATCCGCTTCCAGTGTGAACGCGCCATTACAATGGCCGCAGCCGCGGCGATGATGCCGTCCACGGGTGTCCCAGCAGGAACCGTGACGTCGAAGGCGTGCGACCTCGGCGGGGCCATCGTGTTGCCTCGGGAACCCGCTGCTGCTGCTGACGCTGGACGGACTTCTGCGACGACGGGCAAAAAGATTCCGACATTCAACTGGAAAATACAATTCTCAAAGCTTAAAATCCCAAATACTAAATATCTTTTCCATTCAAAACTCCCCCCCCCCCCCTACATACGCAGTGAGTGCCAAGTTCATTATCATTAATTGAAAACCATTGTTTTTCTCCTAGACATTATATCACATTCCTCGGTAGACTCATATAAGATAAAACTGATCCCTTATGCTAAGTCTCCAGAAACTCCACTTAATTTGCATATTTTTGGCACAAAGTGGCATATAGTGGATAGTGTTTTGAGCCACAGGGTTGCGCGAGAGCTCCGTAAAGTTGGCTTCACCTACGAAATTTCCAGGAATGTTTGCAAACGAAGATTCCAAGAATGTTGCGCATATGAATGTTCGAAAGGGAACGTTCCGAGAACATTGTGCATACGATTGTTCGCCAACGAACATCCCTAGAATGATGAGCAGCTTACCTGGTAGGGAATGTTCGCATGTTCCTAGAACGTTCGATCCGAATGGTGTTTTCACGTTCCTTCAACATTCAGAAGAACCGGGGAGTGCTCGCACAACATTGGGTGCTACTTGGGTAGTGGCGCACATCACTGAACATACAGAAAATAACAGATTGTCTCTTGAACGCAAAACGGCGAAGTACACATAATTGGGGAGTCTTTTTGTTTCTAAAAGCCAAATTCAGAAAACGAAAGTAAATTTGTTTGTTGAAACTCGGGGTATATTGTGTGCATCGTTTCAAAAAAAGTATCAAACGAAAACACCACGCAACACATCTGACGTTGTTTGACACCAAGATACACTGGCTTGCACTGGCGCACCGACCACCGGCGTAGCGTAGCGCGTAGTCGTGAAATGTTTACGACTGATGGTAATCACAGCTTATTTACCAAAAAGAAGCTCGAGCTACACCTAAGCACTTCTTAGAAGTTGTGAATGCGAAAGCATGCAAGCCGCTCGTCCGCTCCCTTTTTCGTCTGGTACGTACTTCTCGCCGCCGGTCAGCGCGCGTGCACCCCTGGGCACGCTGACCTTGGTCGCTCCGTGTTAACGGCGAGCTGATGGACACGCAGCGCCATGGAGTGAGCGGTCGTGGAAACTGACGAGCGCAGCGGCCAATGGGAGCCCCGTCGACGCGCGCCAGCCAATGGAACCGAAGGCGAAATCGCGGAAACTAGGTGCCGTTTTCGAGCTTCAAACTGATGACGTCAGCTGGCTCCATCGGGCAGTTAATGCTTTCGCATTAAAAAAAAAAAAAGAAAGACTCGGCGCGGGGTGGAGAAATCCGGAGACGACACCGCCGCTGCCCCCGCTAACATTCTGATGCGAATGTGCATCGCTGTAGGCGTTCTGTCTGATGCAAATGAGCGGAGCGGAATGTATTCCCCCTATATCGTAAAGTATTTGACGAAATCATGGAACCCAGTGGCGTAGGAACAGGGGAGGGGAGGGGGGGGGGGCGGCAGAGCGGCCACCGATCCCCTCTCCAGCCCCAGACAGTTCCGACATTCAGTAGAAACAATACGGAGGAGGAAATACAAAATCGCCATCGCCCCCCCCCCCCCCCCCCTCTTCCCCATCTCCTGAATAGTTCAGAGGCCTCTGCATGAACACGCGTATTTCTGCATTTGTTCATGATTTTGTCATGTTGGAGCTACATTCCAGCAGCTGATTTATGGGCCAGGCTCGGGAGGAGGAATCTCCAGGAAGATCTCAGATCTGACGTCACGGGTGAAGCATTGCGCAGAGCTTTTTTGTTTACCTAATAATTGCCAAGTTGTTTTTTTTATCATTTTTTATTAAAGAATGTTGCTCTTGGGAGGTTTAGGTAGCAGTAGGAAGAGGGTATGGCAGTTAGGCTGAGACCATAGAGTTGATATAAGACCATATAGTTATTACAATGTATGCTAGAGGTTCAACTGGCGCTAGTGTCTTTGCGACTTCCAGACAGCAACCAGTCTACTTGTGAGGTGCTCCTCGCGTGAATTTTGTCTCTTTGCCGGAAAATGAAATGAATAACTTTTGTTATTTTGGTTGTACCAGATGGTAGGTACCTTTATTAATATTCTGAAAGTGTAATTGCTTTAGTTATAGCCTTTGTTTTACCACTGAACGATGTTAAACTTCGCGATTTTTCTGCCCCAAACCTCTGTTCCATGGCAGGTATGTAAAAACGAGCGACGATTCTAACCAAAGTAACGAGCGAAAGGAATTTAGAGTATGTTCAAGGTTCGCTAGCATTCCAATGGCGCCTATACAGGGTGATTCAAGGAGAGGCCAGGCTCTTTAAATCGACCGCAAAACCCGTTTAAACTGTTTATGACTATGCTTCACCAATATTGCAACGTGCCCCTTTTAGTACTTATAACCTCCTTGCCGGAAGTCAATTTCCGACTGGTTGCTGTCTGCTTCAATTTGCAGCAGCACACTAGAGTCAGTTGCACCTCTTGCGTACATTATAACTCTATGGCTGAGATAGAAGCTCCGCCTTCAGCGCTAGCTTTCTGCCCTTGCTAACACAAGTGTGAACGCGCAGGCACTCGCAACCATAGAGTTATGCTCGCAACCAAAGCACTGCGGAAGCCAGCGCGACCAGATTTCTAGGCATTCATTCTGCATTTTCACGCACATGTCACCTCATGAAAAAAAAAAATGGGTTGTGTGTATGTTTATACAGCCTAGAACTTGGTTTGCCTAAACGGGTGACGAGTCTCCCAGCTGTAAATGAGAAATTTAGCCAGAGCAGTAAAACCGCTGGCCTGGGGTCTTGACTGAAGGCAGAAGCTGTGAAACCGAAAGACACTGAGGGGAAACCGAAACTGTCTCTGGTGGCCGTTTTTAGCGGAAGCATTTTCGGTCGTCGCCCAACCTTGGTGTCAACATCGATGGCTGACGTTTTTCAGTATGAGGTGGCCGAGTTGAAGATTTTTTATGTTTAGTGAAGCTGCTGCGAGATCGAGTCATTAGGATTTTCAAAGAACGTCTGCCTGATATCCGAGAATGTCGCTGCTGACTGACTTTTTGGTTGTTACTGTCTCACAGGTACCACAATCGTGCTTCACTTATTTCGGGACATCGGTGATTCGTGAATGTGATTGTTTTAAAAATTTTATTCTGAGGCCGCACGACGACAAAAATATTACATTGCTTGTAGAATTGCTCTCCTCGACGGACTTTTATAGTTGTGCTTCATCTGAACTTTACGCATGCCTTTGTCATTTAGTTTTTAAGGACATGGCGGTGACCGTCCTGCTGGCTGCATGTTTTCTTATTTTGGTCCGTCAGCCCTGTTCCGCTGTGATGTTTGTCCTCGTTAATTTCTTTACTAAATGTTTTGGACGTGTTTTAAGAAACAGCTTGAAGTCACTTTAGCCCAGAAATAAAACTTCAGATGCACCTTTCAGTCAGTAGTCATGCAGCAGACTTTATATTTGTGTGTGTGTAACTATGTGTGTTCCCTGGAATAGCTGGTAACAAAAATAAAAAAAAAGAACTGAAATATACTATGTTTTTCTAATATTGTTTTTGTAAGTCCGTGTTATGATTTTACCTATTACGAGCGATAATATATTTAATTTCGTGTTTTTCTCAATTATTTTCAGGTGTTTTTCTTTGCTGGTGGATGGGTCTTCTTTATGAAGAAGCTTTTCAAGGACTATGAGGTGTGTGGAGATAAAAGGGTTGCTTGATTCTATGTGATTGAAAAAATACATTCACTATAGTCCGTTGCAACTCAAGAAGGTAGGGCGAGGGAAAAGAAGTCGGGGGAGGAGGAAGCAGACGGAACGCTAGAGAGACGGGGAGGTTTCCTCCTCTTTTCTCCAGTGTTCCATTTGCTTCTTCCTCCGCAGCCTTCCTTTCCATTGCCCCACTTTGTTGAGCTGTAACTTACTCTAGTTAGTGTGCTGTCAAGCTCGCGAATTTATAACTCTTGGTCATATTCATGCTTTCCAGGGAGCTCTTGAAAATGCTGTGCAAGTGGCCGAATGCTATAAATTTTGTCATTTTTCACTTCATACAGGTCTATCAATTTTTTACAGGAAATGTAAGGCGAGCCGTAAGAAAGCCTGTGAAAATTCGTAACTGCAACAATACTTGAAAAAACAAGCTAGCTGGTGGTAATTCATTGCAATAAAACCCGAGACTCGTGAACACAGAAGGGGACATTGTGTTGTGGTTGTCCCCTTGGTAATAAAACCTGTGTCTCAGGTTTTATTACCATGAAAATTTGTAACTTTTTTTATCACATGTTTTGTTATTTTCCAGGTGCATCACCTCTCTGTACAATTACTGTTTTCTATCACATTCTCACTCTCATGCACCATGTTTGAACTGATCATATTCGAGATACTGGGCTTTCTTGACTCAAGGTAACTATACTATGATTGCTTCTCGTAACCACAGCAAGAGCACTTCTTTCTTACACAATATATACTGCTTGAGGGCAGCACTTACCCAATAACTTTACTTGAAAAAATAACTAAGTTATTTTATGGAAATGTCTATTTACAATGCATTGGATCAGTCTGCCTTGTGATATTGTACTTCACTTGTGTGCAAGAGAGAAAAAATTAGGCCAATTTACATGAATTATATAGCAGCAGCAAAAGTTATGTCAACTATTTAGTGATCAGTAACGGAAGTGCTGTGCCATTTGCGCCAAACTGTGCCACGAACGAGTCCCTCTTACATCCTGCTCCAAAATGTTGTTTTTGCTAAGGATTGCGCCACACATGTGCCAAAATGGGCTTAGACAAAGCAAAAAATAATTGGTTATTCGTGGATTCTAAAAAAAATGAAATATGTTTACAACTCCCTGTAATGCCGAATTAGAGCGCAGCTCTTGAGGAGGAGGAGGACGGGAGGGTACGGAGGGGACGGTACACCCCTCCTTCTCATCTGTACCCTCTCCTCCTTCCTCCTTAGCTACTCTTCCCATGCCCTTCTCCCCCTCCCCCTCCTCCCTCTTTCTCCTCCCTTTCTCCTCCTCCTCCCTCCTGCGCGGTGCATTATGGGACGTTTCTTATAATGCACTCTGCGGTTACGCCAACGCATTACGGTTACGACAGCGACGCCAACGCCGCTCAAGCCGGAAACGGGCGCCTAAGCGCTGTGCCTAAGTGCTGTGCTCTAATATTCAGAGAAGTAGAAGGAAAACAAAATTATACAAATATGTATTTCATAGCACCTTCACTCATCATATAGTTTTTTTTTTTTTCACATTGAATTGGAGTACAGTCGAAGGCTCGAGCACATAACCATGAACCCACATATTAATAGTAGTAAAATTGCAAGTATGCGTGTATACAGAACGATGATTCATACCAACATGTCGTGCTTTTTACACTGTTTGATTGGTCCAATTGGCTCGTTCGAACGATGTATAGAGATTGCCCGTCAACCGCAGTGGCCCAGTCATTGTTGGAATTTCCAGATATTGGCGTCCATGTCAGGAGCTAGAAGTCGCAATATTAATTTGTAAAATGGTAGGATGGCGGCTATATATGGGATAAGACAGAACCAGCTTTTTACTCCTGTTGAGGTCACTTGATTATCATGTCTGCCACATGCCTCCAATCCCTGGCTACAGTGTACCGTACTTGCGCCGCTCGCGCCCATCTTCACCTCCTCGCACCAGCACGCGTGTGTCGAACTTCACAGCAGCGCCTGGGTTAGTGCGATTGCCTGGAAATTATGCTCACTACTATTACAGGTTGACCTTCTTTGATCTTAATTGTAAGTAAACTTCTCATATAAAAAAAAAGAAGCTGTGTGAGGCAAGGGGGGAAAAATTGTGGGCCTAGATTTGAATAAACACTGTAGTCAAATTAGTTTTCATGCAGCAGTTGATCTAAAGGGCAGCAAACTTTGACTCAGCTCTGGTTCCAACATCACTAATGTGCAGTCTCACTTATAAAGTGCAACTGCAGATTTTCATAACAATTGCAAGTGCTGGTTTTTGCAGTTTATAATATTAGAATCTTCAGTTTAAAAGATTAATAAAGCTGGGGGGAACATATTTTTATTGTTAGACATTCTTGCCGATATGCTGGTTTTTATCGGCGTTTTAGAGAAAGTGTATATATACAGGCACTACCAGGTGTAAAAGGGGGAAATAGAGAAGGAATTTATCTCTAATGAAGTGTTGCACTACAATTCATTTTTCAACCATATTTTTAATACACATTCTAAATGGAACCTACTCTGACCTTAGCCTTATTTCTAAAAAAAGGGCTGTGTGTTCTTTTCGCGTCCTATCTATTTTTGTTACAAAAGGTCAGGAGTAATATGTATCCGTATAAAAAAAAGGAACCCTTCATTATCAAAGTCGAACTCATTTTGGGATAAATTCAGTTTCTCATTTTCAATTGTTGCACACACTGCATACCGATGTTGGCATCTAGTCCTAGAGCGCCAGTGGCTGCTTCAAACAAATATTTTGCCTGCTACAAAACCAGCTACAAAAAGTTGATTGCCACTTCCATCACCAAGTGATTTTCTTAATGCAACCCTTGCATGCTCAGGAAGCTACACTCCACCTCACAAGCTGTGCAGGTGATCTAGGCCTATATGTGAGGGCCTAGCCCTCACAGATACGCCTAGATCACTTCACCTAAGTCAATCAAAGTCCATGCCCTGGCATTTTGACGTCATCCCTCCGGAATCGAGCACAGACACGTTGACGCTCGGTGTCTAAGTGTGATGAGGACATTATCCGAGTGTGATGACATTACGGGAAGATGGAGGAGGCTGTTTGGAGGCTTTGATTATTCTAGGTGGTGTTGGCCTAGCCCTGCACAATTCTTTGTTTGCACAGCCACCTGCTGAAGGAAAGCATCTTCTGAAGCCATGCAATGCTGCTCAGAGCTTTTGAGATGGAGCATGACTGTAGGAACTTTTTTCAGAATCGTGGTATTTCATTCTGATTGCAACATATCGCTACAGTGTGTAACTAAACTCTGTGCACGCTGGACCGTATATTGACATATACATTGTTTTTTGTCCCCAGCTCTCGATACCTGCACTGGAAACTGGGACTCTACGCTATCCTGTTTATGCTAATAGTATTCCTCCCATTTTACATTGGATACCTCATCATCAGCAACATCCCATTTGGTAAATATGGTGTCTTAGAACTTAAACAATAATTTGTGCTATGTTTTCTAACATTTCTTTCTTAATCTTTAACAGTTGTATTTGAGATATAAGCATTAATTTTGTTGTATATTTCTGTGCTGCACACTTGCCCATATTTAATCAACCATAGGTTTTTACATATACAGTTGTTCAGAAAGGAATACATTAAGTCATTTTATTTAGTGGTGCAGTACCAAATGAAATGCTTTTATCAATCAATATCACTAAATAATTATTCAAGAGTAGCACTAAAATATGCTCATGTTCTTGGGAACTGCATATTATAAAAGTGGAGGCTATGACTTATGTAACTCATTAGATATATCAACAGTGTTACAATACTAAGTGCCAGCATTTACTTTTATGCTTCCCTTTCAGAACCAGAATAAATGAAACCAAGTGATTTTTAATGTAGCACAAACTAACTGGCCCCCTTTTTTTTTTCTTCAGAGCATAAAGTTGGGTAATGAAAGGAGTTGGCATTTGTGGCACCTTAAAAGTTGATCACTTTATTATCTGTTGTATTCTATATATTTAAGTGGTAGTAGATGTTTTCTTCATTCAAACTTATACAGCTGATTTTTTATCAATAAAACTGTGACTAATCAAACAAGTACTTTTATTTTTATTTTCCTTAGCACAGAATGTGTTATATGACTAGCTCCTAACAGTTTTTGCTAATGCTCTCCTACAATGGAAGCACATCACGCAAGTGCTGCATCAGCGCTCAACTGAAACTCGCGTCGTCATTGATGGAACATGAGTCCAGATGAACACTCATGCAGGACTCATGTCTAATCAGTGTCCACTGCTGGCCTGCAGTAGGTAGCATGAAAAGACTTTCAGCATTTCCACTCTGGTGAAGAAGGAAGACTAGCGAAGCTGTCCTATGGTGGGAATAAAGTAATGACCGGCCACAAGTCGGCAAGCCAGAGTGAAAAAGCTCGAAAGGTTGCCGCCATCACTAATAGATGGTGGTAGCTGTTCAGAGTTTTGTGTAGAGATTTGTTTGCCCACAGACAGGATATTGGGGAAACTAGCCCTTAACAGCTCCGCTGTAAAATCTGGCGTTACAGGCTTGTCATCTTGGAGTTGAGTTTGCTTGCTCGCACATAAGGTGGGAAAATGTGCACGAGGCAAGAGAACAAGCATATGCTTCGGAGGATAGAAATGGGGTGCGAAATAGCAAGGTCAAAACTGGGATGTGCGACCGCAAGAGGTGCAAACTTTGCATTCTACTCTTCCTGGAGTGCTAGCTTTGGCAGCATTTGCTTTTGGAGACACTACGCACGACAACATTTCCGTCGTCGAGGCACAAAATGTGCACCAGGTTTGTCTGTGCAACATTTCCGCAAGGCTAAACACAATGCATTCTGTGTTTCTCGTGCCTGTGCCACAATAGTGCAAGAAAATGGCAAATTTTTTTTTGTCCCTGAATGCGCCATTGTTACGAATGGTTCCTTCTTATTTGTACCTTTTCACTAGGCTCACTATAAGAGACGTGTCAGACCAACTTGTTCTCAATAAAAGTTTGCAAAAAAAAAAAACTCATCTGAAACGTATTAAAGGAAAGCATTGCCAAGACTGGCAGATCTGCAGGATGCTGCAATCTCCACATTCCCATGAGCTAACCTGGGAAACACTTCCGTAAAAGTCGTCTGGGATGAGATGGTTACTCGCTTCATTTTTTAGCAGTTCAGCTCTGACAGCAGTCTTGACCAACCAGCAACCGCCTGATGCAACAGGGCACTACTATGTTAATTTTTCAGTGCCAATGAATTGGAGGCCATAGCAAGAGGTTAATAAGAAGCACATTTTTCTTACAATTATTTTGTGTATGTTGCTTTTGTGGGGGGAAAAAAACATGGCCCATTCGCTAATTAAACAAATGTTAAAAAATCTTCTAAAGCTTTGAGAACATGCTGTTCACAAAGACTCCGAAAATAAGATGTGTTTGGAGTACAAGTATGATTTGATTCTTGTTAGTGTGACTAATAAATAAATTGTAGCTTCAGTCAACATGCATGTGTTTATTTCTGTATTCTGCCTTAACCAAATTCTCCTTAGACAAGAGATGCAGATTTCCGCATTTCAAATTCATACTGTTTATTTTCTTCCATAATTTACGTTTCAGTAAAAAAGAAGTTGCTTATGCCTCTTGCCCTGGGAGCATGGCTGGTGTTTGTGTACCTATTCTGGAAGATTGGGGATCCATTCCCAATTTTAAGTCCAAAACATGGTGAGCTTTATTTTTATTTATGCTTGGTAATGTGCATGATTTACTGCAGTGAAAGTTGGAACTCTGAGTATAAGATGTGCGGTACAACTTCCTAGGTTAGAACTTTGATTTGGCTAAAAGGGACCAACTGCAGCTTTAAAAAACGGGTGCTTTTTCCTGAATTTTTATAAAAAAAATGTTTTCCCCAGAGGGATCCAACCTCATAGTTCACGCCAACTCAAACCTTCTTTGTTTGCCTTCCTTAAGTTGAAAGTAAACACACAGTAGACTCTCATTAATTCAAACTCGAGGAAGCCACAAATTTTGTTTGAATTAGCAGAAATTAATTTACATATGATGCAGGATAAACTTAGGATTTGCCATATGAATGGTGACACATAGAAAGCAGATATTTGATGATTTCCTCTACATAGGCCTACTGATCATAAGCAGGTATGCCACACATGAAACATTGTGAAATGTATGACATGTTTATTTATCTCTAAAAAATTTTGTGTACCGTGGACTGTTTAGACAGCACATGACAACTCAAAACAAAATTTTGTTCATCAGGCCAAAAAGTTGTGTATTGTGAACTATTATGCAGGGGACACATGAGCGATGAAAACGAGCGCTGCGCGGCAGTTTTTGTAGCAACTTGCGCGAACACAGTGAGGTGGACCTACGCCATGCCCCCATGTCGCAACGTCCGCGCACATTGCTATGGAAATTTCCGCGTGGTGCCTGCTCATGTGTGCCCTGCTTGAGTCCCGTTCAGTGCGCTTCTCACTGAGCACCGGTGCACTGCGGAGAAGCAACACCCGCGAAAGCAAGCTTTGCAGGTGTTGCTTCTTTGCAGTGCACTGGTGCTCGGAAAGAAGCACACTCAACGGGACTGCGAGAACAAAAATAATGAATTTCAAGAAAACGCCATTCGAATTAAGCGACTTATAAACACATTAGAAACATTGCAGGACAACCAAAATTTCAAATGTTGATTTGAATTAACCAGAAGTATGACGTATCCAAACTTGAATTATTGCGAGCCTACCCTATTCTACAGAAATCTGCCCGGTTGGGCGAGAAATAAAGTAAAAAAATATAGCTGCAACCAAATCTTGAAAGGTAACCGGACGTTTCAAAACCAGCTTGGTTTCTTCTTTCGGGTGACTACAAGACGTGGAGCAGCAACAGCTCCTAACCTTGTCATCTTTAAAATATATATATATATATATATATATATATATATATATATATATATATATATATATATATATATACATATTTTTTTTTTTTTTTTTTTTTTTTAATGAAGACGGTTATATTTTTGGTTTTCTTGTCAAGTAATTGAGGCCCTGGGAATACATAGAGGGCAAGGCACCCAGAAACCTGTTTAGGTTTTCTGGCATGTGCTGGATTTGACATGACTCCAAGAAAAGCCTTCTTCGGATATTTGGCTCTGTGTCAGTCTCATGCATGTTTGCGAAGTCGATGTGATGGTCTAGGGCAGGGGCGGCGAAGCTGCGGCTCCCGAGCCGCATGCGGCCCTTCAAGTGCTAAAGTGCGGCTCGCAACTCCCTCCCCTCCGCCCCCCCAAATCCCACGTCTCTTTCTTGGTCATACGAGCACTTCCCCAGAAAGAAAAATGGGAAGTATTTTAAATCGAGAGACAGGTTGCGGTTTGGTAGTCTTGTGCTACTGCTACATTACGTACGGTTGGACTGCTTTTGACTCTGATGGATTGAAGGTAGTTTGAGCTTCGTTTACTGCTCTAAACAAGTTTGCCCCCCCCCCCCCCCCCCCCCCGCGACTCTTGAAAGTTTTGTGGTTTTGTTTGCGGCTCCTGGGCCGGGTCAGCTTGGCCACTCCTGGTCTAGGGTATCGCAGTATTCGGCGATGGCACTGCGCTCACTGTCAAACTTCCACATGTCGCTCTTGTGTTGGCGGATTCGCTCGGGAAACTTCTTTGTCTCATCGATTTAGGTTGCGGGGCACTCTACACATGGAATCGTGTAAGCCATGCCTTGTGCTCTTTCCTTTAGCAGACAATCTTTGGGTCTTGGCATGAACCTTCCCAGTATGGACACGAGCTTGTGGGCCAACAGAATCCTTTCTTTCTCCACTACTCGTGCTGGTGATTCGCTGTTCCCCTTTACTTAGGGGATGCTGATGCGCACGACTCTATAGGGCTGCCTTTCTTCTGGTGGCTTCTGGTTTTGTCTGGCAAGACCTTGGCATTGAGCGATGCATTCAGCGAAGCTGCTAGGAGTAGCCATTTTTCTTCAGGTCTCCAATGGCAGTCTCCTTCCTTTCGTCGGTTTCCGACGAGCAGTAGTCGTTGCTCTGTGCAGGATTGTCGAAACCACTGACGCCTTGCGACTCGTCGGGTGGTTGGAGTCAAAATCGAGGTAGCATCTGGTGCGTGTTGGTTTTCTGTACACCATAAACTTCAGACCTTTCCCTCGCCCGTTCACCAGCACGTCAAGGAACGGCAAGGTGCGGTCCGTCTGGCATTGCACGGTTCACCGTGCAATGCCAGACGAATGGCCGGCTCGATGGAGTCGAGGTGTGCCAGAAAATTATTCATATCTGATTACTTGGGAATGCAGAAACAATCATCCACATAGCGCAGAAACACCTTGGGGCTGTTGGGGAAAGACCGCAGTGCTTTCTGTTCAATTGTTTCCATAGCGAGGTTCCCCATCGTGATCGAGATAGCCGCAGCTATTGCAGTGCCACCGACCTGCCCGAAAATCTCCTCTTTGAAGGTAAAGCGTGTGCTGCCGAGACAGAACTTGAGCAGACGGCACAGCTCATCCACACCGAGGTTTGTTCTTGTGCTCATGTTGCTGTCTTTTTGAGGGCTTCACGGGCTGCAGCAACTGCAAGGGGAACCGGGACACCTGTGAAAGAGGTACACCATGTCGAAAGACACCATGGTGTCATCGTCGACAAAGTGGTCAGCATTTTCTACACGAATCGACATGTTTTCAACGAGGGGAGCCAAACTCCAGTGGGGGTACTAACTGGATGGCGCCGGGTGCAGCAAGGTTGTCCAGTCCACAATAGGTCGTACAGGGACAGTAGGTTTGTGGATCTTTGGAGGCACATAAAATCCTGGAGCGGAGCCCATCCTGCAGAGGAGTCGCAGGCTCTCTGACTTGGGGTAGTGTTTGAAAATCTCTGCCAGCAACTTGTTCAAGTTCCTCTGAACCTGCAGCATTAAGTTTTTCTTGAGTTTTTCATAAGCTTGGCTGCCAATAAGATCCTCATACACCTTCCTCTTTGCCTTTGCCTCATACACCTTCCGGTCCGGGACGAAGGTCAATTTCCCTTTGTCGGCAGAAGTGCAATTTCCGTATCCTTGCAAAGTTTCAAAAGGCTGCAACTTCTTCTGCTGACAAGTTATGTCGCTGCCATTGTGGGAGTTTCGATGGGATTCAGGCCGCTCTAAGACGCACTCCGTCCCGAACCCTAGGATCTAGGCACGCGATACCGTCCTCCACAGCCGTTACCATCTTTGGCAGAAGCGGCCGTGTCATAGTCACGTTAAATTGAATCATTGAACGTGTCGCCCATTGCCAAGGTCTTGCCAGGCAAAACTAAAAGCCACTAGAAGAAAGGCAGCCCAATCGAGTCATTTGCATCGGCATCCCCTATGTAAAGAAGATTGGCAAAGCGCTGATGCGAGTACTGAGGAAAGAAGGAATTTCGAAGGCCTACAAGCCCGTGTCCACACTAGCAAGGTTCATGCCAAGACCCAAAGATTGTCTACCAAAGGAAAGAACACAGGGCATTGCTTACACAATTTTATGTGCAGAGTGCCCCGCCACCTACGTCGGTGAAACAAAAAACTTTCCCGAGCAAATCCAACCAACACGAGAACGATGTGTGGAAGTTCAACAGTAAGCGCAGTGCCATCACCGAATATTGCGATACCCTGGACCAGGGGTGGCCATACTGCGGCTCTTCGCGTGTTAAAGTGCAGCTCGCAGCTCCCTCCCCAGCCCTCCTCTCCTCTCCCCCGCCTCCCTATTAGTCACACGAGCACTTCCCCCAAAAGAGACTGGAACGCGTTTTAAATCGAAAGACAGGTTGCGGTTTGGTAGTCTTGTGCTACCTCTACCTTACGTGCAGTTCTTTTGACTTGGATAGATTGAAAGTAGTTTGAGTTTCATTTATTGCTCTGGATAAACGTTTGCACCCCCCCCCCCCCCCCCCCCCCCCCCTGCAGCTCTTGGAAGTTTCATACTTCTCTTTCCGGCTCTTTGGCTGGGTCAGCCTGGCCACCCTAGATCATCGCATTGACTTGGCGAACATGTACGTGATTGACACAGAGTCAAATATCCGAAGAAGGCTTTTCCTTAGTCATGGCAAATCCAGCACACGCCAGGAAACCTAAACAGCTCCCTGGGTGCCTTGCCCTTTGTGAACGCGCATGGCTTTCTTGACTCGACGAGAAAACTGAGAAAGTGACCATCCCCATAGAAAAAAATTTTTTCCTATATTTTTTTTTGAGGCAATGAGGTTAGGAGCTGCTGCTGCTCCTTGTGTTGTTAGTCACCCATGAAGAAGAGGCCGAGCTGGTTTTGGAACATCGAGTTTCCATTCACGATTTGATTGGAGCTATATTTTTTTTAACTTTTATTCCTGGAGTTGGTTGATGTTGCATTTGGGCTGGAGTCCTAATGAAGTCACTGAATTGACTACTTGTCTTTCCATAATCATAGCCAATCTGTCTTTATGATCCCGTCATCGAACGTCATTTATCATCGAGCCTCAATGTTAATTTAACATATGCACTTGCCTCTGACAGACGCAGTGTACGAGTAGCTTAGCATTGCAATGTCTTGCTGATCTCTTTGCAATAATGAAAACTACTGAAGATTGCCATGTCAGCAACAATTAGTGGGGGGGATTCAGTGGCTTTAGGGTTTTGGATCAATACTTACACGGATGTTTCACATCACAGTCCACAAAATTTGCACAAAACAGCAAAGAGTTCATTAAGTACACTTGAGGTTGGTGCAGTTAAAAGTCAAAGCAGAGCACTGGTAGGTTGGTACTAAGAAAACATTGGTTTCCCTAGCATTTCTCTCTTTTTACGATAAGGAAAGCGGGACATTTAAGACAAACAGACATGACAGGCTTTCGACTTTCAACAAAACGTTTACTGGCTCAACTTCGCCTCCTGAAGCTCGGCGGGGGGCGTCGGGGAGGTAGAGAGGGAGGATAGTGGGTGAGAGAAGCGCGAGCCATGTGGCCCTGCTCGCAGCTAAGCATGCATGGCGGAAGGGGGGGTTTGCTGTGTGTCAATCGACACGTCGCCATTACACGCATCCCCGAGTGCGGGCGGTGTTCTCTTGGGGAAAGAAGGGAGGAGGGGGGAAAGGCACGCTGAGGAGGTGGAGGAGAAGATGTGCCAGGGATGCCCTCTTGGAGAAGGAAAAGAAGAGGGGGGAAAAGGCACGGAGAAGAGAAGAAGATACGAGAATTTATACTTTTTATGTCTTTGGAGGAACCCTCTCGCTCCGCAGGAAGCGAATCTCTCGATCGGAAAGAGAAAGGGATGGGCTGGACAGGTTTGAGACTGAAGATTTGATATGTAGAGACTCAAGGATTTCCCTGCCGAATCGAGATTTGTGCCCGCCGAGAATTTTGGTTTTCGAGAACTCAGGGGTGCACGAGGGGCAGTTTTTGACGTGAGCCACAACTGGATGGAAGGAGTCCGGAGAGGGAGACGAGATTTCCTGGGCCCGCTCTTGGAGACGGTCATTCACGCAGCACCCCGTCTGACCGATGTACACGGCTCCGCACACAAGAGCAATACTATACACCTTTTCCCATGTGCAGGGCCGGAAGCACTGCGCGTGTTTTATGTGCATGGGGGGGGGGGGGGGGGAACGGGTTCTGGTTTGGTGACTCGCTTGCACATGCCACCCAATTTAAATTTGCATGTGAAACGAGCTCTGGTGCCGAATCGATGTGCAAGTGCGTGGAGTCGGTGTGTTGTGTTGTGGGAGTAAGGGATGCACGCAGGGCAGGCAGACCGGGTCTCGGAAGGAGCCTCCTTTGGGCGGCTCCTAGACTGCAAGATGAGTTTCTTGTTGATGTTATCTAGGAGGTCCACCAGGTAGCCCGCCCTCCAGAGCCTGGAGGCCTGCAGCGACAGGCTCCCTCTGATCTTGTGATCGCAGGACTTTTTGCAAGAGGAGGGAAGGAGAGACTGGACAATTCTGGACTTAACGGTTTTTGAATGGTGGCTAGAGAAGGGGACGACAAGTTTTTGGGAACGCTGTTGAAAAGACCTGCATAGGCCGTGAGATGAGTGGGTCAGTCAAAGATAGAGGAATTGAAGGCCCTTCTGTGTAGGGTCTTCCCTTTTGAAGGTGAGGCCACTAGCATTAGTTTTGAATGCCTGAAGGATGGAAACACCTCATTTGGAGACAGAATGAAGAATTAGATAGTCGTCAACGTACCGGAAGATCTTACATTCATTACCCCTGCGAGCTAGAAACTCCTGCATCGCGCAATCCACAAAAAAAAAAAAAAACTCTCGCTGAGGATCGGCGCGAGGCGGGAACCGATACACACACCCGACCTCTGAATGAAAACTCTTCCCTCGTGCTCGACCAGAGTGGATCCCAGGTAGAGCCGGAGGAGATTGAGGAAGCCTCCGACCAGGATTTCGGACGCGTTTTGAAACCTCGTCATTCCATGCGGCTCAATTGGCTCAGAAACAGAGCTAAGAAGAATTTTGAGGTTGAGATTGTAATACATGTCCTCGACATCCAGCGAGAGCGTGTTCTGGTCCTGTGGTGAAGAGTGCGGTGCAGACGACACTTGAGCCTGGCTCACGCCCACCCAGTCCTGCCTGTCGTTGCATATAGGATCATGTGACATCTCGTACCACGTGATAGCCATGTTCTTGGCAGTTGAGCCCAATATTGCCAGACGGAGCCGAAGTTTCGGTTCCGATTTCTGCTCATGTTTAAAATTAGATATAACGATATATAGCCCATTTTTCGTGAAACAAATGATAGTAATGTTTTTTACTAGTGCTTTTTCATGTGAAATCGCTGATTATCCCAAAACCTTCGAAATTGAGCAGAGTTGCCCTCTAAGCTACCATTTTAGAAAATTTGTGGGGTGACTTCACACTCTTTAGATAAGAGACATGAAAAGCTTCTGTATTTTTAGATTATTGTAGAATACTAGTTCCACCCATTCAAAATTATTGCAGAACTGGAGCAGAAAATTTTATTTTTTCTAAATATTGTTACATTCTTATAAAGAATGTTATTGTGGGAGTAGGATGACTAGGAGTTCAAATGGTTGTGTCCCTAGCAAATTCTAGCTTGTACCATTCTTTCATCAAAGCAGTTCCAGAATGCTGGTCTCAGCATTCTGGACCATATCAACCTGGCTTGACTGATAGCTTTGTTACACTTGTGCAGGCTAAAGGTCCATCTTAGTTTGATTAAGTTTGGCATTTGTAATGCAAGATTTGAACTTAGGGTTATGGGAGTTTTCTTACCTTCATTTCGGATGAATACTCTTCTTGGCACCAGGGCAACATTCTAGAGCTTTGACTGGCTTTTGCAAGTAAACCACTTGTTTTTTTTTGGTATTTTTTTTTTAATTTAAATACTAAAATATTTGTGTCTATGTTTAGAATTACTAGAGAATCATTTGAGAACCGAGCTTAAAAAATGTGTCAATGTCAAAATTCACTTGTTCTCAACAGAGATATGTCTGCACATACTTTCTATGTGGCGTCAAATGTTAAGGAATTAATAATATACCTTTTTAGGTAGTAGTGACGGTGATTTAACAATCACGCATGCTCCCATCTTAGCGTGTGCCAGGAGTGGAGTGGGCTAACTGGCACAGATTAACATTAGGACAAACGCATAGGTTTGAGCCCAAATATAATACAAATAATTACCGACTTGTTAACCAGTGTTTCATTGCATGCCTCACATCTACAAACAAGCTCTGGGAGACCATTCCACAGAATTGTTGCGTGTTGTGATGTGTTCTTTGCAGGCATCTTGTCCATCGAGCAAGTGATCAGTCGGGTTGGTGTTGTGGGAGTGACTCTCATGGCCTTGCTATCCGGCTTTGGTGCTGTCAATTACCCTTACACTTCAATGGCTTACTTTATGAGGTCAGTGAAGTAGTGAATCTGGTACGCTTTCACACGTAGAGGTTGCACTTGTTCTCGTAAACTTGCCCACACACCTTCATTCAGATGAATTACAAGGTCCCCACCATGCATTCACCACATGAGCCCCTTTAGTTGTCGTTTCTTTTGTCCGACAAGTTCAACCTCTCTTTTGTTCTTTTTCAGACCATTTCCAATAATTTGGGATCCTCATAACTAAAGTACAAACAATTTTTTTACAGTGGAGCTGTTAAGGGAGGACATGGGCCTGAGTTTCAGAATTTTTTGAAAAAATTAATTTTTCAATTTTGAGGTTTTTTTGTTTTAGAAACACCCTTACACTAAATTTTATAACCATGTGCCAAATAGTTATGTTGATATAAAATATTTTCAACACACTGTGAGGCACTAACAAAGTGTAAAGGAGTTCAATGTTTGAATGCATTTTTCTCAGTTCCACTTTTGGCTGCAAATTTCATACAAAGGAATCTTTTGTTTGAAGGTAAAAATATTCTTATACCACAATCAAGATGTTTCTTAACTGAAATTTACTGGGGAATCGGGCTATCTACTTTATTTTGTTTTACATTAAAGTCATCATTGAGAAAAAAGTTTTCAAAAATTGACATAGGACAGATATGCATCTCATATTTTGAGGTAATCACTCTTCCTGAAATATTTACATTTGAGTTATAAAAACTAGATAGCCCGAAGTCCCACATCCCCCTCTTTATACTCAAGCAGTAAAATGCTGCTTAATAACTTCATTTGCATATCATAGATTTCTTAACAAAGAGTCACACATCTTCTTATGCAGGTATGTAAAGGTGTCCTAGAGAGCTGAAAGTTTGCACAGTACACCTACATCTGAAGTTTAATCTCCCCTGCAAATTTAATTACGATCACTTGAGTAGTTCAGAAGTTCAACCTGTAGCCAGTGTCCCCCCTTAAGGGCTAGTTTCCCCAGTATTGTGTCTGCGGACAAAACAATGTTGACACAAAACTCCAGACAGCTATTGCCATCTATAAGCGACGACAGCAACCAGACAACCGGCTTGCCGGTTGTCTGGTTGCCACTGTCGCTCATAGATGGTGGTAACCTTTCCAGCCTTTCCACTCTGGTTTTCACCAGAGTGGAAGGCCTGAATTTCTCTAGGCGTCGTGCTAGAAGTCGTCCTGGAGGACAATGCCTAGAGGACGACTTCCTCTCGTCTTCTGGGCATCCTAGAAGTCGTCCTTGAGGTCAGCCTGAACATCATACTTGAGGTCGTCCTAGACGTCGTCCTAGACGTCGTCCTTGAGGTCGTCCGAGAGGTTGTCCTCAAGGTCGTCCGAAAGTAGTCATCCTTGAAGTCGCCTTCGAGGTCATCCTATAAGTCATACTTGAGGTCATACTAGACATTGTCCTCGAGGTCATCCTTGAGGTCGTCCTAGATGTCAACCTTGAGGTCGTCCTAGACGTCGTCCCTGAGGTCGTCCTAGGCGTCGTCCTCTTGGTGTCATCCTCTAGGTGTCGCCCTTGAGGTCATCCAAAAAGTCGTCCTTGAGGGTGTCCTAGACGTCGTTTTCTAGGCATCGTCCTAGACGTCGTAAAGATAACAGCTTCGCTGGTCCTCCATCTTCACATAAGGTGGAAGGGCTCTACATTTTTTGTTTTGTTTTGTTTTAGAGTTGAGGAGAGAATTTTATTGTCCAGATTTGTTCTTGTCCCGAGTGCCACTTACGTTGCCTGCTACCATTGCCTGCTACCATTGCCGTGCAGTTTTTGCAGCAGTGTGTGGTTTGCACACTGCACCTGCCACCAGCAATCAGCTGTGCATGTATCCCAGCGCATTGACGGTGCGTCTGTCAAAGCTTGAAGCGACGCATCACGCCCCATACGTGGTGCTTCACGAGGAAGAAAAAAATGCTCTTACTATCACTTCGAGGATGTGAAGAGGTTCCTAGTATTATAAATTTATACTTGAGTGTCGGGTATACAAAGTAAAGGATGAGAAAAAAGGTCCTTAATAATATACATGTTGCTAGTCCATCATTTCCTTACCTTTCCCTGTTTGTCTTCGAACGTTCAGCTGGTTCTATCTCTAATCGATTTTTCTACCCTCAACAACACTTCAGCGTCTTGTGACATTCGGGCATGCACATGCAGCCAAAGCATGATGGATGGAAGTGGACACTTGCTGGAAGCTGGGCATTCCAAAGTGAGATTGTCAGTGGCTATAAATTTAGAAAGCTTTTGCATGTCCAGTCTGGACATGTTGCATTTTCCACTGCTTGGGAGGCACTGCTCTAAAACACTGATGCTAATTATTCTGAATGGTCTGTTTCTGACCATGGTTAATGATATCAGAACTGACTATAATTACCATATTTTCTGGCATAAAAGTCGCAGCTTTTTTGCAAATTTCTGTCAGTGTGTCCTACACGATGGCGCAACTTGTATGCATCTTTTTTTTATAGTTACAAACCTTAACTGTGCAAGATGTGTGCTGTATCAACATTTACGACAAAGGAGGAACAACGTTTTTTTTTCCTTCCTGCAAAACAAAGGCTGGCACATAAAAAATGAACTTTTTGCAAGGGTTTTATTTCTTTTTATTCGTTTGCAAGAATATTGAAACTGTCTCCCGCTTGCACGTATATCATGATGACAAAACATGTGTGCGCACTTATCAATGCAGTTTCATTGCTCCAACCATACAGGAAAGTGCAACCTCTACACAGGTTAGACTTACAGACAAAATACAATATGACTTCAGTTGAAAGTGGGAGCCTTGTTCCAAGTTATCATGACCTGTTGGAATTTAAAATCAATATTTTCAGGGTGGTCACTGTCAATGATGTGTTAAACATGGAGAAGAAGTTACTTCAAACCCTGGATGTGATCATCATGAAAAAGAAAAGGTATGCTACAGCATCGCTATAGTTAAGGTGACAAGCACACATCTTGATTATTGAGTTAAACCAAATTTTTCAGGGCAGGTTTGCTCAAATAAATGTGAAATGGCCATTTGAATGAACATCCTTTTTACTGTTTTACACATTTAGAAAGGAATTTCGTGGAAGCCTCAGTGTTCACTGTAAACCAAGAAGACTCCTTGTAACGTTGCCCCCGACCCACTTCATCTACCTTCGTGATTTGCTTAGTTTGCGTGTTAACAATCTGCATCCTTCTGAACAGCATGTGTGCAAATGACGTTTCTTAGTGGTAGCCCTGCACGTTTCAAGCAAGCTGGCTCAAGTGTCAAAGTTATTGTACAGTGACGATCTGCCCACTGTTCTGACAATAGTTACCTGACTCTCGTGCTTATAGATGGTTTTATTATTCAGAAGATGGTTTAAGTTGGGACTCGCCGTAGTAGTCAAACAGGTCAGTCATCTTTTCAGGCCTTGTGACGCTAATAATTTGTGGTAACTCAAACATTCGAGGTAAAACAACATTGTTTTAAAAGTTTTTCGTTTGTCTCAAGCTGACTAGCAGACCTCAGTTTTTAACATACATATTTCACTGAAATTACCCAATGCCACGCTTACAAGAGAAATATTTGAACCAAAATATTAATGTTGCAGCTCCAATTGCTTGTAAATTTGTAGCCTTTAAGATTTCCTGTCTTCAAATTTTGTGTATGATTGAGCTTTCAATGGCTCTTAGGCAAATATTTGTTTTTTATATCTCTATATTCATTTTATTTTTGTTTGGCTTACATTTGCCAAGCTCATAGATTTTATAAACATTTACAAAGCTGCATTATAAGAAAGCGAACCTGTTTAGCCATGCTAGGGGGGAGCAAGGTGTGGTAACACTACTGTCAAGACCGGTTATAACAAAGTCAACGGGGATATGAAATCCCTTAGCTATATCCGCTTCTTGGTTATGTATGGACTCATAAAAGTAACACGCGAGAAAAAAATATAACACGGGCCGTCACGGGCACATGTTTATCGTGCCTGCAAAAAGTGGTTGAGGCTTCCCTTCACTGCTCTCTGCTAGATCGGAGCCGCTTCTCGCTTACTGCGAGAAGAGATTTTGCAAGCGACGTACAGATCGTGTCAACAGCTGCAACGGCTGCCATGGAAAACGCCGGTGGTGGACGGCATTCTTTAAATTTATGCGCACTTTGTAAAGGATGGCACACCTTTGTTTCAAGGAGATTGCCTTCTTCTTCTCTATCGAAGTGCCAGCGGTGCCGGGACTCTCCATCATTGAGTACTGACGATTTGCCGAATCGGTGTTTGAGCGTAGGCTTCCGTGCAAGAGCGATCACACGTACCAGCAGCACCGACACGAAACGCGAAGCAAACAAAGAAGCGCACATGGCACCGAGTTCATGCGCAAGCCCGTCTTTCGTCGTCATAGAGCCTAGATATAAGAGAGGGGGCAACTGCTCGGGAGGGGTCACATGGTTTGTGGGCTGCGTTTGCAAAACGAGCTTCAGCATGCAAGGGGTCAAATCTCGAAAACGTTCACTTTCTGCAAACGTGTCCGCCTCTCCTCCCAATTTCCTCGCCATACTGGCCACGCAATGACCAAATGCAGGAGTATTTGCGCCAATCTGCCCAGGAGGCGTCTGCTATTAAATTGCAAAAGTTCTCAATGGTTGGAGTTGCTTCATCTCTTAAATCTATGCTCTTTTTGTCATCTCCAACGGTATGTTGTCGCTTGCGCTTTGAAAGCCCTATCAACATGCCACGATGGCTTTTCCACGTGCGATGCGGAAAGCCGCTTCCCAGATAAAGACGATGATGTAGAGGCTGTCACTGGCAGCCTTTCCAGCATCGTCCGTTGCCCGTTCTGGGTGGCTGCTAAGCCGCGACAGCAAAGTGCGGTGGTTTGGGAATTAGTAAACTTTCCGAATTTTATTAATTTTTTTAAGTATTCCCGAAATGTGCTATATGTTGAGGAGCCACTTAAATTCTTCTGTTAAAAACAGACAAATACATAAAAAAATTGCAAACAGGAATGGAAAATCGTGATCGCTTTGCTATAGCCACTATTTCGTTATATAACCGACTTTGTTATAACCGGTCTCGACAGTATGTCACATTTCATTTAGTACACTTTTTTTTTTTGCTTGCAAGGTACGTGTAATTTATGCTAGATAGTTGCATTATGAAGTCGGAAACAGCCACTGAAACTTTGTTCATGTGGAATGCCATAGTGTGCGGACAACTTCACTTCAGGTACTTTAACTTGGTGGCCCGGCTATACCTCCAGGTGACCCACGTTATTGAGCAGTGACAATAACTCTAGCTTTGATTCCTTTCTAAAAGCTGCAAGAGTGTATGTTTGCATTGCATTTCTTTCTCCAGGATAGCACTAGCAATGAAGGAGAAACAGCAGTCTGGATCTGGCCGCCAGACATCTGGCATCTGGGGCATGCTCCAGAGCGTCACCTCCCTGCCCTCTGGATCAAAAGAAGGTCAGCTGTCTACCATCACCTTGTATGAATCCAGCTTTTTGTGCCTCCAATTCAAGGGTTTAGATCGTCGTAAATTGGTGTTGCAGTGGAATCTTACAGTCAGCTCCGTGCATCAGTACTTCCTATATACAGATGACTCTCAATAATTCAAAGCTCACTGGGACATTGAAATGCTTTGAATTAAAGGGGTTATGGCACGAAAATTAAACGGATAGATTATTTTTGAAATGGAATGCTCATAGGCTGCTTAGTATATACACCAAGTTATGCAATGTTTAGAGCTCTGGTAATTGCAGTAGTTAATTTACAAATTTTTATCATTTTCATCTGGCAACCAGGTGACACTGCCCAAGTTAGTCACGCCGTGGTGTCCATAAACACGTGATCATGAATGCTCTCTCATTCTAGGCACCCCCATGATCGCCTAAGCTCTCCTCATTGTGGTACGATCAAAGCCGCTCACGCAGCACGGCAAACCCTAACGCTATTCTCGCTCTCGCCCCTGGCCCATTGACCTTCCACCCTACATGCGCCTGTGATATATTCTTGGACGACAGAGACCACAGCGAGTTTGTCCGGAACTCGCCGTCGCTGGAGCTGGTTGCCAGCGGGTCGCAGTCAAAATGAACAGCTTCCTACGTCTCATGATTGTAATCACTCTCATTGCAGCTGCGATCAATGTCAAGCACTTTGACAAGGCGAGCGATGCTGTAGACGTAATCGTCATGGACCGCGTACTCGAAACGTAGATGGTAAATGAGGAAGCTGAAGCTCGAGACGCCAAGAGAGCCAAGTCTGTGAGTGCGTGCAAGGGGACGCCGCACAGAAGGCTGGCTACATCACCAGCCTCCCAGCCACGGCGGCCTTTTCGAATGGGGCGGATCCGAGGGACCCGCGTATAAATAGATTTATCCACAAAACTATCGTGCCATTTTCAAAACAAATTTAGCAGGATTATAGAAACACACAATGGGTCCTAGCAGTATAGTTATCTCATATTTTATTTTGGGCGTGTCATAACCCCTTTAAGTGAGCTCCAAATAAAAATAATGCGCTGAGACTATCAGTTTTATTTTACACAGTGCCAGCTCTGAGAAAATATTGCATAGCCTTTTAGGTATGGAGTCGTTGAAAGTTCATTTCACTGTGGCCTATGGCACTGTGGAAGTTCCAATGTGTGAGTGTGGTCTTTCTCTGATACTATGGTCACAGACATTGGCCAGCTGAAGCAGAGTGTGGATGCACTGGAGGAGTTCAGTCGACAGCTGTTCCTGGAAACCGTGGAGCTGCACAACATGCTGGTAGAGTAGAGGCCACCCCCACTAAGCTGCCATTATTTTTTTTTTTTAAGTTGAAAATTTTTAGTGTATTTTAGGGATGGCCGAAAGGGAAAGGATGTGGACATGATTGCTCTAAACTTTGTTTTACCTTTAGAAGAGTAACATTCTAAGGATGGTAGGAGCAACATTTCATCATCAGACTCTTTCTTCTCTCCCGGGTGAATTATTCAAGGTTCCTACAAACTTGGGGCACTGGGAAAACCGGAAATTTCTCGAGGATTTTGGCGAGTCTGGAAAAGTTGAGGAATTTCTACCCCAATTGGTATCGCTCAGGGAAAATTAAATTTCCTTTCTTCAAGTGAAAGCAAGAGGCTTGGATGTTACGTGACACACCTCGCATGTGACTCAGCCGGTGTTCCGATGCAAATCTCTGCTTGGGAACCTGAGTTATTGGGAAACCCGAAGATTCAAAGCGAATCGCCTCGTCTTGAAACGCACGCACCAAGACGAACGACCCCCTTTGTCGTCATTGCTAAAGAGACCGTTCCTGTGCACGACACGTTTGCTGATTGGCTTCACAGCTTGATAGCTGGTCTTTTGAGCTGTTCCCCTCACTCCTAAATTAACCACTTCTACAAGCTCTCCGTAGCTTGGCAGTTGATTTCATTTCTGTGCTAGAATGAGAAGGTCTTGAAGTTCTAACTGGGGAAGTCATCAGATGTACCCGTGTTTACACATAAAATGTGCACTTCAAGCATGTCTTGTCCTCTTGGGAGTCAGCCGGGGAATTTCGGCAAAACGGTCTGGGAAAAATCTGGAAAAGTCGGGGAACCTGAAAACATACCTTTGGTAGACAACCCAATTATACTGCATTTCATATTTGAAATTCAGTTTTGTTCTCAAATTATACGATGAATCCGTTCATGTCACATGCTCACATTTGTTTCTTTTTGCAATTTGTTTAACTTCCCGAATATCAAAATGGGTATAAAGCCAATTTTACAAACAATGTTATCTGCTATTATCAGCTATGGAAAGCTCGACAGAAGCCACCTCCTTGCTGGGGGGCTTAGTGATCTTTGTTTAGTGCGAAAGCATTGACTGTCTCATGAAGCAAACTGACGTCGTCAGTTTGAAGCGCGAAGACGGCACATAGTTTCCCCGATCCTTCGGTTCCATTGGCAGGCGCGTGTCGACGGGGCTCCCATTGGCCGCTGCACTTGTCAGTTTCCATGACCGCTCACCCTATGGTGCTGCGTGTCCATCAGCGCTCCCTTCCTCCCCTGGGCACGGACCGTCCAAGGTCACCGTGCCCCAGGGACCACACGTGCTGACCGGCGACAAAAAGTATGCAGCAGACGAAAAAGGGAAGGGACGAGCGGCTCGCATGCTTTCGCATTCACAACTCATAAGGAATGCTTAGGTGTACCTCAATCTTTTTTAATGTGTCTTGCACTGTTCTTTGCAGGAAAGGATAGAATGGTCTAAAACTTTCAAAGGAAAATACTTCAACTTCATTGGATATTTCTTCTCCCTGTACTGTATATGGAAAATATTTATTGTAAGTACAATATTTTTCACACTTTTTCGGTAAACATTCTGCACGATACTGGTGGCCTGTGGCGTAGCCAGGGGGAGGCTTATGGGGCTTTAGTCCCCCGCAAAACCCAGTTGACTCTATAATATACACCTGCATTTCGACTCCCCCCCCCCCCCCTCCTCCGCACCCCAAGTCATAGACATCCATCCAAGCCACTTAAGGCCCCCCCCCCTTCCCCTCCCCAAAAAATATTCCTGGATACGCCACTGGTGGTTGTCTATATATTTCATCGCTCTTTCTCGCATCTTTCCCGCACAACCGGAAAGTCTGATAGGGGTGATTATTAATGTGGAAGAGCTCGCACATAATTGGAAGAAACTCGGGCACCGAACTTGGCCGGTTAGGGCTATACAGTCTAAGCTCATCACAGCAGACCTCTATTTTGACCAAGATTTCGGTCTGTTGTAAAAGGAGAATGTTGTATGCAGATATGAAGTTGAGTCAATGGTACGTAGACGAAAACCAACCGAACTTCGCAAATCGGTATGTTATATCTAGGGTTCCGCGTTTTCGGTTTCTATTTTTTCAAAATTCGGCATATTTTTTTCGGTGTTTATTTTGAAATTCAATTTTCGTTTATTTTCGGCGTATATTTATGCACACAACAGTTTATCGGCTTTTTTCGGTGAATATAAAATAAACACCAACAGACACCGGATCAGATTATCCTTGTAGCTCTGATATTTGTGATCACTCAAAGAATAACGGCACAGATACATTGAAAAAGAAATGGACACTTTATTTGGCAAATCTGTGCAACTGTAAAAGAAACAAGAAAAAAATACAGAAGTACAAACAAGTCAGGTATGAAACCTATGCCCAGAATCAGAAAACTTCACCTTCTGTATATCAGGATTATGTGATATTATAGTACACGCACACATGTACTTTCCTAGGTTCTCCTTGTCAATCTACACTCTTTCTGTTCTGTTAATATGACACTGAGTTTCAAGAATGCCCTCTCAACGCTAACACTGGACACTGGCAGGCTGAGGAGATGAAGTGCTGCCTGAGCCAAAATCGGCCAATCAACCAATTGTGACCGCCAAAAAAGACACAGTGCAACGTTTTGAAGCACAACACAGCATGCAGAGCTTGCATCAAGTTAGTCTTCCTTACGAGGAGTTTGAAAACACGCTCGTACATGGCAAAATCATGGGGCATTTCGGACTTCACGTTCCGATCGATGATGCACACATAAAACCAGAACGTCGTGATGGCATCCGTATATCCCATACATTCGGACACGTTTCGATAGATACTGTCATTCCACTTTTTTTTCCACGGTTCTGCGGTGCGACTGGAAGGTCAAAGTAACCTTTTCCGGTTAAATCTGAATTTTAGAAAAATGTGTTCGACATACTTTTATTGGTTTTTATCGGTTTGAATCGAAAATGCCGAACCTAAAAACTTACCTTTTTCGATTAAAACCGAATATCCGAAAATGCATTCGGCATACTTTTAATGGTTTTTATCGGTTTAAACTGAAAAATCCGAACCTTAGTTATATCTAAATGTCTGTTATAACCGGGTCCGTTGTAATGAGCTTAGGCTGTATTGCATGAGCAAACTGCGAACAATTGCTGATTTCACATTTTGAACTAACTGCAACCCTCATTTGATTCTAGAGCATTATCATTGAAATCATAATCATTAACCCTATTTGACAAGTAGCATGGACTTATAAATTTTACTTGAACAAGTGCCCACCCCACATTTTGTTGTTATCTTGCGATTTTGAGGTGGGTACTTGTTCTTTATTTTATAGTAAGATGCATAAACAATCCATTGACTGCACACTCATAAAGCAAGGCTGACCTCGTCAGTCATATATGGAAAGTGACACGGTTTGCACAAATAAATGATTGGGGGTTTCGCTTGTTCATCTCTCAGTACTGAAAGTCTGAAAGACTAATGCAGCAGGATATGCTCATCTGGGGCACTTACTAAGGTGGTAAAATGTGCCACTACCCTGTTCGAGCAAAATCTGTAAAGGTGCTAGACTCATACCTATGCTAACCGGGTGCGCAGTGTAGTAAGTGGGCTTTTTTAAATCGAGACCTCTATAGTTTAGTCAAAGGTGCAAAAGCTGGACTGAATGTGGTTGTATAAAAATCCACTGCTCTCCCCTGCACACACTGGCTTTGCTAATTTCGCACCATAGTTCGCGACAGCTTAAAGGCCTAGCAAATGCTCCACCTCGAGCAAAAACTTTATTTAAAAAAGCACAGTTTTTGTTGCTATTGTTTCTGCCTTTGTTTTATTTAGTTTTTTGTGTTTCAAAGTTGTATTATATTTGCCCACATTCCCGCCTTAAAGCCCCATTGGGCCCTCAAGAAGGAAAAAATAAATGTAATTAGGTAACGCTTAGTCGCTCGGCGGAAGGCAACTGGAGGAAAGCTCAGTGGAAGACAACTGGGGCATGCGGGAGACAAGGCTTCTACTGGGCTCTTTAAACTGTCACCAACTATAATGCTATCCAGGTTGTCGAACCGATTATTATTTCGATTTGGTTCGGGTCCAGGTTCAGTAGCTTTGCATTTTGTTCTGGTTCGGTTCCAATTCAGTGATGCATATGAAATATTGGTTATTTCACCAGTTCCACTCAAGTGCGAACTGGTTTGAGCCGATTCTTTACTCTACTTGGCTGGCTTAAGTATGGGACCCCCTAAGAAGACCCCTTTGGAGATTAGCTCATATTGACCCATCGCTTTATCGAGCTGTGTCGAAAAAGTCATGGAAAAAATGATACTGTCACGACTCGAATGGGACCTCGAGAACAGAAAGATACTTCCTACATGCATGTCAGGATTCCACCGAGGAAGGAACAGTGTTGACAATGTTTTAGACCTAGTATCCACCGTTGAACAAGCAAATGCGAGCAAATTGAAAACAACCGCCGTCTTTATTGATATAAAAGCTGCCTTTGATTCTGTGGATCATAACGCCATCCTTACAGATATGAGAAGGATCGGTCTCAGTACAAGACTATGTACGTGGGTCTCCGGTTACCTGAATGGTAGACACATCTTTATTTCCACTGAAGATGGAGACACCGATCTCTATGAAGTTACAAGAGGAGTACCCCAGGGAGGTGTCCTGAGTCCCACTCTTTTCAACATATCTCTAATTCATCTTGTCAAACTGCTTCCGAAAAATGTGCATACATCTTTTTACGCCGATGATATTTGCTTCTGGGTCTCTAGCAGATCGTTATATATAAACAGAGCACGTATACAAAAAGCAATCAATATTGCCGCGCGCAAGGCTGAGAAAGCAACGCTCGGTCACGGTCCTCCAGAAAGTTCCCGTTTATTCATGTACCGCACGTAACTTCTATCATTTATCCCTGCATTTGTTTTCTAGAAAGTGCGTGTTCATTCTCGCCCCGATCACGCGACGCTCGAACCGCTTTCGCCGAATCTTCGAGATAGCGACGCACTCTAGATAAGAGGCCGACCGCGACCTTGTCGAGTCAGTCTCGCCCCAGCGTTCGACTCTGCTGCCACGCCGACTTCGACGCCCGCGACGCTCTATTATTATCTTTTGTACTCTTTTATTTTTGGCACAAGTTCGCCACATTAAACGTTTATTTCTTCTTGTTTATTTCCTGTTTTCTTTTGGTCACCACCCGTGACATTTTGGTGGAGGTGCGGGGTACCGCATGCCCGTGCAGCGTTCTCCTCCAAGGGACCGCAGTGCAAGTCCGATTCCCGGCTCGGTGAGAAGACCACTCACCGCAGAACCTGAAATTCGGACCAGCCGCCGCACCAAGGGAGAGGATCCTGAGTACGGTTTGCTCCTGGACAAGCCCAAGCCGCAGAAGACGACGATGGCCAACCAGTCGCAAGCCCCCGCCGCTTCTCCCGTCGTCTACATGCCCGTCGCACCGCGGACGGCTGCCCCCTTCCACGGTGAACTCTACGAAGACGTCGAAGACTGGATTGACCAGTATGAACGCGTTGCCCGCCACAATGGCTGGACCGACGAGCAACGCCTGCACAACGTTTACTTCTCGCTTGAGGGAACCGCCAAGCACTGGTACGAGAACCATGAGTCCTCTTTGACGTCGTGGGACATCTTCAAGACCGACCTGAAGGCTACGTTCGTCAACCACCACCGCCGAGAGAGAGCCGAGGACCTACTGCGAACCAGGACCCAGGGCCCCAATGAAAGCGTCACGAGCTTTGTGGAAGACGTGCTCCGCCTGAGCTCCCGCGCCGATCCTCAGGCCACCGAGGGAAAGAAGCTGCGCATTTTGATGCGGGGCGTGAAGGACGACATCTTCGGAGGCCTCGTCCGCAACCCGCCGGCAACCGTTGACGCCTTCGTCAGCGAGGCGACAAACATCGAGCGCGCCCTCCAAGCGCGCGCTTCCCACTACCAGCGGCAGCCAAGCGTCACTGCAACCGCGCTGCTTAGCGGTGAAAACGTGCCTGGTACGGACATCCGCGAAATTATCCGGGAGGTTGTCCGGGAGGAACTGCGAAGGTTGCTGCCAACCACCAGCCGTCCGCCAACCATTTCCGTCGCCGAGGCTGTCCGAGAGGAAGTGCATCGCGCGCTCCAACCAGAGGTTCCCGTCACCAGGGTGGCACCGGAGGAACCGACGTTGAGCTACGCCGCCATGGCCCGACGACCGCCGCAAGCTTCCCGCCAAGCCACGGCACCACCTCGAAGAGACGCCCCAACGCCGCAGTACCCCCGACGGCCGGAAGATCAGGCGCACGTTCCCCCAGAGCGACCTGCGCCGAGGAAGACAGACGTCTGGAGGACGGCCGACCGACGCCCGCTGTGTTACCACTGCGGGGAAGCTGACCATGTGTACCGCCGATGCCCATACCGACGACTCGGGCTGCGCGGATTCCATCCAAGCGACCCGCGCCCCCGGTATGGTGAACGCCCTCGGGAGATCGACGAGTACCTGCGACGACCCCAGTCCCCCGAGCCTGCGTCACGCC